AAAGAAGACATAAAAATGGCTAAAAAAATATTACGACCAGCCCTTTGTAAACAGTTGTAATAAGTTGGACCCACATTAGAAAAGGAAAGCTACTGGAAGCTGGTTGAATGCCTGAGAAATAGATAAACAAGTTTATACTGTATAGCACAGGGAACTATAATCAATATCTTGTAGCAACCTATAATGAAAAAGAATATGAAGACAAGTGGATGTGTGTATATGTATGACTGAAACATACTGTATACCAGAAATTGACACAACATTGTAAACTGACTATAATTCAATAAAAAATTTTTAATTAAAGAAATGGCTAACAAGTTAAGTGGTCAACATCATTAATCATTAGGGAAATGCAAATCAAAACCAGTGAGATAGTACCTCACCTTTGTTAGAATGGCTATTATCAAAAGTCAAGAGATGAAAAGTGCTGGCAAGGATGTAGAGAAAAGAGAAACCTTGGGCACTTTTGGTGGGAGTATAAATTTGTACAGCCATTATGGAAAGTAGTATTAGGTTTCTCAAAATATTAAAAATATAACTACCTTTTGGTCCAGCAATTCCACTTCTGGGTATATATCCAAAGGAAATAAAATCAGGATCTCAAAGAGATATCAGCACTCCTATTTTTATTTCAACATTATTCACAATAGCCAAGATATGGAAACAATCTAAATGTTTAATTTAGGATTTAAATTAGTGGATTTATGGATTAAATCAATGGATTAATTGATAAAGAAAATGTGGTATACATGTATACAATGGAATATTGTTCAGCTTTAAAAAAAGAAGGAAATCTTGCCAGTTGCAACAACATGGATGAACCTAGAGGACATTGTGCTAAATTAAATAAGCCAGACACAGACAATACTACATGTTATCATTTATATATGGAATCTAAAACAGTTAAACTCACAGAAGCAGAGAGTAGAATGGTGGTTACCAAGTACTGAGGATAGGGAGAAATGGGGACATGTTGGTTAAGGGATACAAAGTGTCAGTTATGCAGGATGAATAAGTTTTGGAGATCTAATGTACAATAATGTGACCATAAGTAGCGATCATTTATTTTATACTAAAATTTGCTAAATGGGAAGATTGTAAGTGCTCTCAACACAAAAAGAAAAAAGAAGGAAAGGAAGTAGTAACATTCTGAGGTGGTATGTTAATTAACTGGATTCATGGTGATTATTTTGCAGTATATATGTATCTCAAATCATTAAATATATACAACTTTAATTGTCAAACATACCTTAATTATTTACACTCACTTTTTTCATTTATGTACTTATTTATTTTTCATTTTATTGAGTTACAGTCAGTTTACAATGTTATGTCAGTTTCTGGTATACAACACAATTTTTCAGTCATATATAAATATACATATATTCATTTTCATATTATTTTTCACTATGAAGTACTACAAGATCTTATATATATTTCCCTGTGCCATGCAGTATAAACTCGTTTATCTATTCTATATATAGCTGTCAGTATCTACAAATCTCGAACTCCCAGTCTGTCCCTTCCCACCCCCCTCTCCCCTGGCAACAACAAGTTTGTATTCTATGTCTGTGAGTCTGTTTCTGTTTTATATTTAAGTTCATTTGTCTTCTTCTTTTTTAAGATTCCACATATGAGCGATCTCATATGGTATTTTTCTTTCTCTTTCTGGCTTACTTCACTTAGAATGACATTCTCCAGGGACATCCACGTTGCTGCAAATGGCATTTTTATGGCTGAATAGTATTCCGTTGTAAAAATGTACCACAACTTCTAATTATCTTCTTTATTTCCTCTAGTCCCCACCCCTTGTGATTATGGGGTAGTCTGATAGACAACTAAGTGATACTAAGCCAGACAACTAGGTTGTATAGATCAACAAATAGATTAAAGTTGGCTAAATGACTCTCTAGCTCATATATGGTGTCTCCATGGCTAGTGGTTTGCTCAGGATGAACACAGTTTACATTTATTGTCCCAGCATAATTACACATTAAAACTTCCCCCTTTCACTCTTCAGAGTGTCCTGATTTGGGTGATATGATCACCCCACCAATGGCCAACCTGGAAGGCCCTAACATTCTGTAGTTTCCAAAGCCTTGGTATAACAAAGAAGTTGAGTTCAAGTTACAGCCCAAACCACCAATTTTGTTTTATCTAAGCACAAGCCATCCTAAACAAGATTCTTTTAAGGAAAGACGTCTTTAGAAAATTTTGTGCTTTGTGGGATGATTCGTTTGAGACTTTTGTGCACTTTGCAAATACTTAATATTATTAAGTCCTCACATTTGGATTTTGCTTAGAATTTACAGGACACCTGGACAAACAAGATCTCCTTTAACCAACAAACAAATAATTATTGTACCTATCTGGGTTCTAGATTATGCTAACGGGGATTCAGGAGATGGAGATAGCCTTAGCTGCCCTAAAACAGTAAAGAATTTGATTGGAGTGATGGTCTCTGCATGAATGTATTCCCTTAAGTATTTTAGAGAGGATAAAAATCAAACACAAAACCCAACAACCACACATTGAAAGCTGTTAAGTCAGACTGCCTTCCTCAGCGTTTGGAGAACCAGGGTTTGTATACATGAGTTTTTCATCTGTCTTCAAAGTGGACTGTTAATCTGTGTCAATTATTAGAAAGGTAATATCATACTGTGTTAATCTCCTTGGACCGCCATAACAAATCTGCAAACTGGGTGAATTAAAACAATAGAAAACTTATTCTCTCACAGTTCTGGAGTCCAAATCAGTGTGTCAGCAGGGCTATGCTCTTTCTCTAAAGGCTGTAGAATAAAATCCTTCTTTGCCTCTTCTTAGCTTCTGGTGATTACAGGCATTCTTTGGCATTCCTTGGCTTGTAGACACATCACTCCAGTCTCTGCCTCTATCATCACATGGTGTTCTCTCCTATGTCTGTGTTCAAATATCCCTCTTCTTATAAGTCACTGGATTAGTGCCTACTCTACTCACTAATGAACTCATCTTAAGTTAATTGCATCTATAAAGATCTTATTTTCAAATAAGGTCACATTCCCAGGTACCATGTACTTAAACATATTTTAACAGGAGACACTCACCCAGGGTTGTATGCATCAAAGTTTCCTTGTACATGCACATAAGGAATATAAATCCCATCTCTTCCATGGCTAAACCAAAACAATGTCCATTTTTATATATTCTTTTATATTCTGTAGCTAATTGGACCATGAAATTCAGTATTCTACCAGGCAGAGTTCTTCGTTTCTTCCACATGTCCTGTAGAATCTTGAACATTCAAGGAGAGCTCACTTGTCACTCTATACTGTTTAAGAAGTTGTCTCCTATAGTAGACTATGAGCTCCTTGAGGACAAGAACTATGGGGTCATTCATCTCTGTATCTGTAGTGCCTAGCTTCATAGATGACACAAAGTAGCTATTAGTAATTATGGGAGAAGAGAAGCAGGTTGGAGGGAAGGAAGGTATTCATAGAGTTATGATCTAGTGGTTTAGGACATAGAAAGAGGCTGGAAGCTCACTATGCCAAAGCCAAGACCATGTCACTTCTTCAGGACTCTCTCCTCTCTACTCTGGTCTTCATAGAACTTTGCCACAGTCTCAGTATGCAAAATATAATACAATCACAAAGTGATCCCATACCACGTGAACCTTTAGCTCTTAAAAGTAGCTTTTCCTTCCAGAATCTTCCTAGTCAGTCCAACAGCAGCTTAGCACATAAAAAGCATGCCAGAGGGGGAATGAGAGGTCAAAGAGTACCATGTGCAGGCTATGTTTTAGACGACTAATCCCTATAAATTGATCAAGGTTGAACACTAAATGTGCCAGAGCCCTCAATAGCTCAAATGCTCACGCTCTCTCTCTCTCTAATGGACCGTTATCAACTGGTATCAGAGAGAATATATAGTTCGTTTTGAAGTCTTATGCCTTTACACACCCAATCAATTATAGTGTCAAAAATAAAAAATCCGAATATATACACCTATGTCTACATTCCAGAGGGAGGCAGAGAAGGAAGAGATCTGACATTGACAGGAATTAGAGAAAAGTTGGAAGTGTCCCATGGAACACATGCCCAGAACAAATTTGGGAGTTTTTGGTGCCCACCCCTCCCCTTCTTCTTTTAATCCCCAAACTAGTTGCTGGCATGTCCCGTGCCTGCCCCACAGCCATGAGAGTCAGGCTATGAGAAACAAATACAGCATTCACAGGAAGGTTAATAGTAAATGTCAAATTCAATACCATAAAAGAGGACACCAAACAGAACACCCTTCCATGGTGGCCAAGACTTTGACTTGTTCATCACTATATCCCAAGTGCCTTGAAAAGTGTCAAGCATGGAGTAGTGATTCAGTAAATATTTAATGAATTTTGAATGAATCAAATTTATTAACCAGGAAACTTCTATAGGCAGTCAGAGCATGGTAGTCAGAAAAGAATGCTTGGGCCAGAAGCTTCTGAAATGAAACTCTTGTCCCAGCAATGCAATGCTCTTCTTACCTGGCAGTGTTAGGGCCAGGAAGAGTCATATATATCTCCAGGAGGGAGCAAAAGCCTAACAAGCATTCCTTAGGCCAGAGTCAGAGCCCTGCCTCCTCCCTTTCTTGCCTGGCTAAAGGACTTAGATATCACTGAATGTCCAACTTACCACTTCCTTTTGCTGCCTACTCAAAGACAGCCAAGGCCAAGGCTAACAGAACTAATTTTGCTTAGGCTAAACCAGTGCAATTGTTTAGCCAAGCAGAATAAAGATCATCACTCCTGCCTTTAGTTCCTATTCCAGCTACTTGCCCCCATTCTTTTTCACTCTCCAAAACCACTGGGGAAAAAATGGAGGTGGGAGATTTTTAGGTATCAGCTCCAACTTTCATCTTCCTCTTCCCATGCTCTGACACCTTCTATAGCTGGCCATTTCAGCCTTAGCAGCAGAATTTCTGGCCTCCCCTAATTCACCTCTGTCATTAACTCTCTATTCTTTCTTTTCTTTCATCTATTTTAGATACCTGCAGCAGAAAACAACCCTTTCCTTGTTGGAATGCACTATTGGTACTCCAGCCACAGTCCCCGCACCCAGCACTGCAATGTTTGTCGGAGGAGCATTCCTGCCTTATCAAGAAATGTTATCATCTGTGAAGGTACCTTTCTGATTCCTTTAGGAAATGGAGCTCAGTGGGTGGAGATAGGGATGAAGGAACTTGTGTGGCTTTAGTATCACTGACTCACCCTAGGTCACTGACTCTAGTGTAAGGTTAACCCTAACACTTAACAGACTGAGGAAAGACTGAGGAAAGGAGTTAGAAGGAAACTGGCATGAGGAGGAATTATCATATATCAAAATGGAGGGTTGGATCTGGGAGGATTGGACAATACGGTCACAGGGCTGGGAAAACAGAAATCACCTCATTCTTACCATTAATTTCCATTCAAGTCAGATAGTAGAAAATTTAACCAGGAAGGATAAAAAGAAACTGAATTATATGGAGAATAGGACTTTAGAGTTAGGTCACTTCTAGCTTAGATGCATCTAGGTTCTAACTTTTAGAACAGCTTAGGGAAATAAATTAGAATCTTCATTGTCACCAGATTCACATCCACTGTTTTTCTTCCTTTTTTTACAGTGTGCAAAGTGAAGTCCCACAGATTATGTGCTTTGAGAGCAAGCAAAGATTGCAAATGGAATACGTTATCTATCACTGATGACCTCCTCATGCCAGCAGATGAAGTGGTAAGTACCAGCCATGCTTTCTCATAGTCACCTTTTCCACCTCCCCTTCATCCAGGACACAAAGGGGAAGGAAGACATCTTCCTCTTTCTAGGCAACCTAAGTAGGCTTCTTCCCCAGGCTCATGATCCAAACAATCTAGAAGAAGGAAAGCTGCCTCCAGCTCCCACCTGTCATTGTCACTAGCATTGGAGTTAGGAGGGCAGGATAATGTAAAAATTCCTTGGGGTTACCTAGTATCCTCTATGGGGTAGTATAGTTATCCCAGCTGGGCCTTCCTCTTCTTATATCACTAACTTCTATCTTCTGTCTCTTTTTACCCTTCAGAAAACTATGCCCCATCAATGGGTAGAAGGAAACATATCTGTCAGTTCTCAGTGCGCAGTCTGTCATGAGAACTGTGGCAGTTATCAGAGACTTCAAGATTTCCGGTGTCTCTGGTGTCATTCTACGGTAAGACTCTTCCCATTTCCTTGATACTTAGAGAACTTGACTTCTAGAGAAGGGGTTGGGTTGAAGTTTGATTGTGCATACACATAGATAGAAATCTCAGAGACCCTTACCCAAAAATAGATTATACAGATTCCATAGTATAGATCTCAGTGTCCTGCCTTTCCAGAATTGGCTATGGAGTCTTTGAGATGAAGACTTAATGCTCCCTCTTATCTTTGATGGGTCTCAAATGGTGAGGCCTACTTGCAAATGGGAAAAGCTGAACTCTCTTATAATAGTATGGACAATTAAAAAAATAAGTTCTGAGTCTGCCCTTATGAAAACTTCTTCCCTCATTCACTATTTCCTAGGAAATTATAATCGTTAATTAATTATGGTTAATAATATTACCACATTTTTATTGCCACTATGTATTGAGTGTTTTATATACACGATCTCATTTAATCCTTACAACAATCCTAAACCAGCCCTCACTGTCCCCATTTACAGAAGAGGAAAGTGAGGTTCAGAAAAGTAAAGTGATTTGCTCAAGGTCATGCAGCCAGTAAATAAGAGTCTTGATTCATACATAATTCTGCAAAAACTGTGCTCTAAACTGCAATATTACCATGCCTCTAAACCAGTGGTTCTCAACTGCGGTTATTTTTGCCCATCTCCCCAGGAGACATTTGACGATATCTGGAGACTTTTTTTTATCCAATTCTGATGGAATGTTTTTTAATTTATTGAGGTATAGTTTATTTATTTATTTATTTATTTATTTATTTATTTATTTATTTATTTATTTTTAACATTTTTT